AAAAAAAAAAAAAAAAAAAAAAATCGCCAACCATGTACATATTGTGTCTGTGTATCTCAAGAAATGCATTCTGTAAAACATTTCACTTTGGAAGCTTGGGCTCATCTAAAGGAATGTGTCCCTGTTTTATTTCCCTTTTCTTACTCTGCAGTCTGATATTAATTGACTTCCAGGACTCGAATGTAATGAGTTTTGGTTTCCATTGTGGAATACAACACTGAGGGACACTGCTCCGATCTAAATACGACAAAAACGACAAAAAAAAAGGCCTCCAGAGATGGCGGCATAGAGCTGAAAGATTGTGTAGGAGTTTTAAGTATGTGAATCAGGATACATAGTAGATTTTGATGCATTTGTCTGCTGTATTTTTGTTTTTATACACATATAAAGATAATCTTTTACTGTAAATGTACAGTTCTCTTTTGTTGTAAACATCATTAAACCATTTTCCAAGTGTTTTGACATGTGCTTTGTCTTTTATTGGGATTAAATGTACAAATTTTAATCCTTGTACATCAGTGCCAGACAGATTTTGCTTCCATCTATACAACATTTAGGACAAAGATTTCAAAAATCGATTTGTTGGTACACTTTGGTTATAATGGGATGGACATGGTCAGTAACAATACTCAGTCTCTGCTGTTTAAATGATGAATGCCAAGTTGTTGCAAATATGCCATGAAGTCGTCCAATGCAACATATTTAACCTACCATCTGAAGTTGTAACAAAAATTGAGACTCCTAAGACCAGGAAGTGGTCTTAGGAGCAGCAGAAGACAGTGTGGTCTTCTGCTGCTGTAGCCCATTTGTTTCAAGAGTCTTTGTTCAGAGATGCTCTTCTGCATACTTTAGTTAGGTAACAAGTGTTTATTTGAGTTACCGCTTGCTTCCTATCCCCTCACTGGATATTTTCTTTTTCATCTCTGTAAACCCTTGAGATGTATCTGTGAGAGAATCCCAATACATGAGCATTTTCTAAAAACATAATTCAAGCAGCCAAGTATTATAAGTAATATAATTCGCACTGATCTGCTGCAATATAAATCCACCGGCTTTGGCAGGTCGTGGTAAGGGGATGTCCAGTCATCTCTGGCTTCAGTATGTTGCAGATTCTTTTGGCGCTGTGGGTTGCAAGGTGGAGCCTCCATGGCTCAAACTTGTTTTGCTAACACAGGAATAGTTGAACTGATTCAGGTTTGATTTGGATTCAGACTGCAGTTGGACTGACATGGGGGTGGGCAGCACTTAGACAACAACAACATAAAGTTCTATATTTACAATATACAGTCTATGGTCAGAGCCCAGCAGAAAGTTGCATTTTAAGAAGACGGTTGATGATATTCCCTTTATCTGTCTGCTGGGTTTACTGTTGTTGATAACAACTGTTTAGCATTATCAGCTGCTGTGCAAGTACAACTTTAAAGATGTAAAAATGGTTACATCAAATATCTGAACTCATAAAGAGTTTGTTTTTAGCCTTAATGTAGGGTTCTTTGTTAGTTTTTATTTGTATAACATGAGAGAAAAGCTTATCACAACATAACACAAATACAAAGTGACTACAAACTGTTTTCCCTGACTAGACATATTTAATTTAGACGCAAATCCTCATATCCTAGAAGCTGAAGCCACAATTTTATTTTATTTTTTTGTTAGTTTAATAAATGACTCGAATTGTGTTTAGTAACACTGTTGCTGATACTGTAGGATGTCAGTGGGGAGACAGAGGAGGAACAGGACGAGGAGATGAGGTACTGGGAATCAAAGACTCAAGGGGGTCCCTCGCCGTCTGCAGTAAAGAGGTGAGAAAAGGTTAAAGCGCCACGCTGATGGGACCTTCAGTTCTCCTAACCGAGAAGAGTCTGCACAATTTAATCCATCCGCTGTGCAGATCAGTGATTCAACATGTAAACTCAGGCAGTTTATCATCACGAGGTCAGTAGGATTCTTTGATTACATGGTGTCTCCATATCAGGGGCGCCACCAAGAGGGGGCCACACCCCAAAATTTGTTGGCTCTCTCTCTTTTTGTGATTGTTAGTGTTCCTCTTATTAACAACACAAATATTTTAGAAATCTGTCAGAAATCCATCAAGCATTTTGTTCAACCTCTAAAACCAACAGTTCTGTCCAGTAATGCAGGTAAATAACTGTATTTTAATTTTTAAAAAGTGGTTTACAATTTTTCCCTGCTTTTTTGTACAATAGTAAATTTGAAAATTCATTTACAACAATCATAATTATACTTTAATCAAAATTATATTTTTAATGTTAAAGTGCTTGTGCAAATTAATTGATTAACCATTACGGAAACATAAAATATGATTTTTGGTAATTATCCATACTTTTAATTTACAGCAGCTGTGGCATAAACCTTACACTGGGTGGTGGTCTAATACATTTGTTTTCACTTCAGATCCTTCCAACTTTTCTGTTTCAAATTACCCTTTCTCTCTTTTTTTTTCTATTTTTTAAAGTTTCAGCATCCTGGTCTTGCAGCAAACTTGTCAGGACTTGAGCAATACAGGTTATTGATACTGATGTTTTTAGCAACACCTGTGTGCTTTTCCTGCTCTGGCAAGTTCAAACATCTGCTGTTTAAATGCCTACAGGGCCCTCAGCATTGTTTCTCTTCTGCATAGAAACTGAAATTTTTGCAAGACTCTTGGAACCATGGGGATATGAAATAAAGCAGAGCGACAACAGCACTACTCTGAGGACAGATGCTTTACTGGTTAAATATTTCTGTCAAACCCTGTAAGTAAACAAACTTTCTTACCTCAGGTTTCTTTTTCTTGCCTGCTTTTTTCTACAATATGCAAAAACAAAACGAAAATAAAGGCACCAGAAAATGTGAGAATGTGACCATTAAAAAGTTTACCAACAAATGAAGTGTCCCAAACCTTTCTTTTTGATGGGTCAAGCACCTCGTAAGGATCAGCATCTTTTGGTCTCTCAAGTTCCTGGACATAAATGAAAACAAATAACAATAATAATACAAAATTATACAATCCAATCTGTGGAGTCAAACATGATCGGGTCACAGAGCGGTTGGAGCTGTAGGTGAAGCTATGCTTACCTGATAAATGACATTTTCTTCCTGTTATTCAGCAAGAAGAGCACAAACATGAAGTGAAGCTTGAATGCACACACATCCTCACACACATTTATTTAATATCATTTAAACAACAGTTGAGAAATATTCACCACCAGCAGCAACTGTAAAGCATAAAGACACCAAAGAAAATGAAGACTTACAGTGACTCCCACAGATGGGCCTTTGGAAAACTAGAGAGAGGCAAAAAGGACAAAAAAGGACAAATAAAATGTAGCACAGATCAATCTGATGTAATAAGTCAGTTTGGCCTATCAGTGGCGATTAAAATGACAAAAAATTCAGGCTGTTTATCTGTAATTTCTTCAAATTGTGACTGAGGCAATCTGTTACAGAAAGACAAAAACCCTCACATTTAGTGAGATAAATGCTGTTAAAACTTCTAAAACATCTTTTCCGGGGTGAAGATTAGTTATTTTATATCGCTGTTAAAAATCTAAAACTGATATATTTGAAAAATTGTATTCACTAAGTTACTTATCAGAAGAATTTGTCAGATTAGAGAAGTAGAAAATGTTGCACGGTTGGCCCTGCAACACAAATGATTTGCACTTTGAAGTCATTTAGTTAATTGACTATTAGGCTGCTACAAAGTCACTTTAAACTAAACTATCAAGGTATTAAATATCGTTACGTTTGGTTCTTCTTTTTATTTATGTACAAAAACACTTATTTCACAGGAGAGAAGATATTAAATATTGACTAAAAACAAAGTAGTGTTTATTTTTAGTCTAAATTTTAAGTTTAGACCAACCAGACCAATAATGTGCATGTTAGGGTTGTTTTGCATGACGGGTCAAGACGGGAAAATTTCTACCTCGTCAAACTTCAGGGAGCTCTTGAGATGTCCTTTGTATTTTATGAAAAGGATGATTCGGGGGAAACGACAGCACTCTTTATCCTGTTTTAAGAACTCTACACACACCACAAGCAGCTGACCTTTACGCCCTGCTAATCTGCTCTGAGTAAAGCCATACAAATATTTTAATGATGAAGATGCAGTACTGTAAACTATTTTAAAGACAAAACCAACATATGAGTTAAAAAAAAAAGGTTCTTAATTCTGAATATTTGTATTATCTAAAGACATCACAGAATTGAAACTGTTTGTTAAACAGGTTTTTTTTTAAAAAAGTGATGTGACCGGTTTTAAAGTTTTTCTTGCTTTAGAGACCAACAGGTGATTTTAGGTGAGAAATTATCATTACATTCAGGATATGAGTGAGCTAATTAGTATTTCTGCATACCACACATCCTCGTTATATGCTTACTGAAGCTAATAATAGGATGCAAGATAACACTGAGATGTGTCCCTTTCCTCTGGACTGTTTTTAATGAAATATTACAGATGAATAGCTAATTGCTCATCTTTTTGTGTGTGAAAATAAGTGACACATACAAATAAATCAAGACATTGATGTACAAGCTAAATAACAGTGGCCCCCGTGTTGATCCTTGCGGGACTCCAGTGTTGCAAGCTCTTGATTACAGCAGCACATTACTGATCCAAACACACTGGTTACAATCTGACAGAATTTTTACACACTTTACAGAGTAAAGAGTGGATCATGTTCTGGATTGGTATTCAGTCCCATGATGTTTTTCTGCATGCGCTGTAACCACCAACTTTTACATGGGCTGCTATAACTCACCTTTTCTCTAAAGAACAACCCTGTGACAATGATGCAATAAATGATCAGAAATCCATCCAGGAAATAGCAGATGACTGGTTCAGTGAAAAAATTATCTGCAGAGCAAACAGAGAGAGAGAAAAAAAGAACATTTTCAGCTGATGTTCGGAGTAAATAACAAGTTACTTATAGCGAAACGTGACTGAGTTCTGGGAAGAGAAGAACATATTTCAGTGAAAAGGGAAATTTTCATCATTTAATTCTGCTCAGCAGAAAACCTCACGTTACAGGAGCACAAAGGCCAAATAATATGACAATGGAGTAGAAAAAGAAGATTTTACGTGAAATAAAAACAGAATCTGATTGCATCTAAAGCCATGTAGTGCTGTGTGCGGAAATATCTCCTATTTGATAAAAGATCATATGTCTTCCAGATAGCGGTGCATAAGAGATGAGAGTTACACACAGCACTGAGGAAACTACCGATACTGATCAGATTTTCATTTGCAGTAAATCTGCATTCTTACATCATGCGTCATGGCTCTGTTGTTTATAGAAGCTCATCTTTCTGCCACTTCTCAAGTCCTGCTGAAGTCACCCTGGATTTTGTCGGCATAAAGTTTTAATCCCTCGAAGCAACTGTTTCTGTTTCCTTGAGTAATTTTTGTTCAGTGTACGTATTACATCACTGTTCACTAAAACTGTAGGTTAATTGTTTATTATTCCTTGAAATTATGCCTAGTTTTTTCATGTAAAAGATGCCCAGGTACTGTTTTCTTATTGTAAAAAAATCCCTTTCAAATGTTTCACTATTTGAAAAAGTAATGAGGTGAGTCTGAAGTATGCCACTTCTCATCTGCACACTAATAAAGGAGATATCTAGTAAAGGATCTTCTAATAAAGGATCTTCTGGAACATCATATCCTGAATATTTTACTGATGCAAATGGTGAAAATCACAACATGAGTAATATGGTCGATGGGTTCAATAAATTCTTCATAAATGTTGGCCCTGAACTAGCAGCGGACATCCCGTGTCATAAAAATGAAAATATCAGTAATATAAAATCAAATCTCTCTTCACTGTTCCTCTCAGCTACAAATGAGCAAGAAGTAATAAATATCACATTAAAATGTAAAAGTAAGTCTTCAATGGATTATCATGACATAAATATGTCTGTAGTTAAACAGGTTATTCTGAATATTGCTAGTCCCTTAACATATATCTGTAATTCATCATTTCAGTGGTGTTCCCCAAGGGTCAGTGTTGGGACTAAAACTTTTCAATGTATACATAAATGATATTGTTGATGTTTCTCAAGTACTTAAACTCATACTGTTCGCAGATGACACCAACATATTTTTCAGTAGTGATGATTATACTGATCTTGTAATGACCGTAAACAGGGAGCTAAAATTAATTAAAAAAAATGGATGGACATAAATAAATTATCATTAAATATAAATAAAACTAAAGCAATGTTTTTTGGTAATTTAAAATATAATATAGAATTACCAATTACCATTGAAGGTGTACCAATTGATAATGTGAGTGAAAACAAATTTTTGGGAGTCGTAATTGATAATAAAATTTCATGGAAACCCCACGTCAGACACATAAAAACCAAAATTTCCAGAAGCCTCGCAGTTTTGAACAAAGTGAAACAATACCTTGATAAAGATGCACTTCGTACTCTGTACTGTACCCTGGTTCTTCCATATCTTACATATTGTGTGGAAGCGTGGGGAAACACATATAAAAATACAACTAATCCATTAGTCACAGTACAGAAACGAGCACTGCGTATTATTCACAAGGCTGGTTATCTAGATCATACTCACAAATTCTTTCTTCAGGCAAAGTTACTTAAATTCCAGGATCTGGTTAATTACAATACATCCATAATTTTGTGTAAAGCTTTTACTAAACTTTTACCGGCAAATTTACAAACTAGATTTGAAATTCGAGAAAAGGTTTATAATGTGAGAGGCTTTGGAGAATTCAAATTACCCAGAACTCGAACAACCCGTAAAGGTTTTTGTGTGTCTGTATGTGGTGTGAAAATCTGGAACAGTCTGAGTTTACAATTGAAACAATGCAAAAATATTCATAGATTTAAATTTCTCTACAAACAGTTGGTCTGGTCACAGTATACTCAATGATGCTTTTAGTGTGCTCTGTAATGTCTGTTCTCTTACCATTGCTGGTATGGATTCCAAAAAAAAAAAAAAGTGTGCATATGTATGTACATATATGTACATGTGTGTGTAGATACATATGTATGTATGTATGTATATGTATGTGTGTTTGTTACTTGTAATTATTACTGCCTGTTACCTGTGGTAATGCAATTTATAATTTATATATTCTGTATTCAGTTATGAAGGCTCTAATTGTTGTTTGCGAGCTGCCGTTTAGATGCTTGTATGTGCCCGGGGCTGTTGATGGGTCTGTATGCAATGATGGGCGTAGCTGCGGGAAGTTTATTGTATTTTTGTTGATGAGTGAGTATAGGGGTGGGATTTAATAAGTTTTCTTCGTCCCACTCCTTTGTCAAGCAATTTTTGTTTTTTGTTTTGTGCATTTTATGTTCAATATAGGTATTTGTTGTGCCTGAAAATGAACAAATAAAGGAATGAATGAATGAATCTACGAAAAATATTATGGTGAAATCACATTACTGCTGGAAAAAACAAATATCCAGTAATGCAAGTGTAGCTATAAATTGTATTTTATTCTTAATAAAAAAAATATACTCAATAAAACATATATTTTTTATTTTTAAAATATTTTATTATGTTTAAATCTTACTATATTGCTTACTTTTTAAAATGTGTGTTTATATATTTTATGTAACAATATTATTAGGATACATAAAAATGTAATATTTATAAGTATTAGTTCATTGTTAGGTTTGGTTAGTTTCAAAATTTTCTTTATAAAATTCACCTTTGGCTCTATTCAGGGAGAAACCAAAGGACGTCTGTACATATGAATCCGTTACATGGTGCACAAAATGTTGTGGAAAAACAACAACATTATCTACAACATTTGTCGTGAGACAAATGAGAAAATTGAGTAAGACCCCTGAAACAGGAAATAAGAAACTACGTACATGCAGCTTAGCACACTGAGTGTCTTCCTGTCTGCACGATGGGCTGCTTTGAGGTTTTTGTGAGGCTCATTTATCACAGAGTGCGGTTGGAACAGAAGAAATGTTGTGAGAACGTAGCCAGTGGTGGCGATTCACTGAGGCTGCAACGTCCTCATCAAACCTCCATCACTGAGAGCTGCTTCAGGATGTAGCTGCTCTTCTCATCTCAGGCTATTTTTATACTTCTAAACAGGAGATCTGTAAAAGTGACTTAAGAAAAGGAAGTATACCGTTTTCACTTACCATTTAAATTTGCTTTATTTTAAAAAAAAAATGTAAGTGGGTTGAACCTTGTTAGGAAAAAGATAACATTTAGTTTATATATGATCAATTTAGAAGCTTTAGAAGCATCTATAGCTTATGATAACCTATAAGAAACCAAAATATATATAAAAAAAACATATTATGAATAAAACAGGTTATTTATGATTTCTTTCAATTTTTATATACAGAAATGCTTTTTGCTCTGTTTGTATTTATCATACCTATACTGTTTCTGCAATCCATTTCAAATATTCTAAGAAGCTCTAATGTTATTAGTAATTGTGGATTTTTAGCGATTTTTATACATTTAACCAAACTTAGCCTTGTCGGTTGATTTGTTTTCACTGTCATTTTGGTCATTAAGTGTCTGTCTCAATGAGCTGCTTTACTTCTTGGTGGCATAGATTCAACAAGGTGCCAGAACCATTCCAGAGATTTTGGTCCATATCACTCTCAGCTGCACATCAAGCTCCCATTCCTCTACGTCCTAAATGTGCCGTACAGGATTGAGATCTGTGGAGGCTGTTTGAGTACATTGTCATGTCAAAGAAACATATTTGAAATTATTTGAGCTTTGCAACGTTTTTCTGCTGGAAGCAGCCATCAGTAGACTGGTATGCTGTGATCATAGAAGGATAGACGTAGGTCAGCAACAACACTGTTTAAACAATGCTTACTCTGTACCGAGGGGCCAAAAGTGTGACAAGAAAATATCCCTCAAATCATTGTACGACAAGCAGCTTGAACTGTGGATACACAGCAAGGCGGATTAGCAGGATTGAAGTTGTATGTGCCAAATTCTGACCACACCATTCCAATGTTGCAGCAGAAATCGAGACTGATCAGACCAGGCAGTGTTTTTCCAATCGTTTCGAAATATTGTGCACATGACCCCATGTGAAATGTAGCATCCGTTTCCTGTCATTAGACGATGGGAGTGGCACTCAGTCTGGTCTTCTGCTGAAAATTCAATGTGTTTTGCATTCAGAGATGCTCTTCTGCAAACCTTGGTTGTGATGGCTTGTTGTTTGAGTTACTGTTGACTTCCTCTAAGCAGTCTGGACATTCTCCTGAAATTCTGAAATTTTCACCTAGAGAACTGCTGCTCTTCTTTTCCTGACCATTCTCTGTAAACCCGAGACACCGAGTTTCTGTGATGTCATTGGCTGATAATAAGTAGTTGAACAGGTGTCGCTGACAAAGTGGCTGGGGTTCATAAATGACCTCACTCCGTCACTTGTAATGTAAATGTGTTCAGACAATGAGCATATTTACTGTTGTGAGAGAAGTTTAGAAGAACATTTTCTTTTATCTGAATTTTTCTTTACACTACAATCTCCTTTTTTAACCTTCATGGTTCCTCTTTAACACTCACAGTGCCTCAATGGCATCGACGGCACCTCGTGTGATAGGCCTCATGATTCAACAAGCACTAAGTCACTTAAAAATGAAAAATATCATAGTATAGTTCCTTACTTTCTAATAAGACTGTAAACACGTTTCCTGTCACCTATAGCGGCACAAACACATTGGCTCAAAGCTTTTTCTTTTTTTACTTTTATGATGCTAAGTGTCATTTCTTAACCACATTTCAAAGGGTGGAAACTAAATGCTGGATGCCCTCTGATGTCTTCTTTTTTTTATAGCCTTTACAACTCTGAAGGCATCAATTAGTTCAATTTTAGATCCTGCTGTTTAGAGGAGCCCAAGGTTGTTAAGTGTTATTAGGAACTTATCAGCTCTGAAACTGGCAGCAGCTAGCAGAGTCTTAATGACTCAATTAAGACCTAACGACTTAATGAAGTTCTCAGTGTTTTGTTTGGAGTGAGGGTCATTTTTATGGTCCGTTTGGGGCGAGGGTTCTATTTGCTTGTTTTTATTTTGAAAATATATATATTTTTAAGCCAAATTTTTTACGCAGCTGAATGAGAGAGGAATCAGTCTTCATGTCTGACTCTGAAATGTAAAGACAAGCATGTTTACTTCACAAAAGCTGTGCCCACTGAATCCTCTTAATGAGGAATGTGCCAGTAATTTTAAATTCATGCGCCGCAGCTGTTGTTCCGACTCTCAAAAGTCTTTCAGAGTCATTCAAATTATGTGGGCGATGTTACATTTCCAAAGATACCACAAAAGTCAGGTTTAATTAAAAAAAAGCAAAAAAAAAAAGCAGTGTTAAAATAATGCACAAAGGTACGAAATATAATGAGTGAACTATTTGAATATTTCAGTGTAATAAAGCTTTAATGAAGAGCTGGAACAAGCTGATGCAAAATTAATGTGCTGCTCTATGAGACGGATCATTTTTCTACGCTTTAGGGTGCTTAAAGGGGAAACAACAGGAGGAAAAAAGCATGTTAATGGGTTAAAGTGTGATTTGCTGTTATTATCGCACTATATTTTAAGGGAAATAAAGAAACGATGCCCTTCAAAGGGTTGCATGGATGTGAACGCAAAAAAAATAACAAGTATGCATAAGAATGTGTTGACACAGAAGCCATTCTTTACATTTCTTTACTGCTGTAGGAGTCTTTACTGCATTCAAGCGTACGGCAAAAAAATTCTCCCGTAACGGTTTCGCATGCATCAGCTGGAGGATGGGGGGATTATTTATTCATGCATGCTTTTGTTTCTCTAATGCCTTCATCACGATGAATCTGACTGAAGCACAAGACAGCACTTGAAAGCGTTTGTAAAACTGTGGCATAAAAGAGAAAGTCTGGGAAGCGTCAAATTCACGCAAACATAATCTGCCTATAAAAAGTCCATAGAAGAGCTGCCCTGTATTTATTAATGCACGGAGCAACAGGTAAGTCATGCGAGAGAGCAGGGTAAAATGCAAAAGGCCAATGTGCTTCTGCAGCACGTACTGTCCAAGAGAGTTAAAAAGGTTTATTTAGTGCATTTAAATTTAACTTAAGTCACTAGGGGACAGCAGTCGTGTTAGTCATTCTCAACTACTTTGATTCAAATGTTCAGAATGTAGACAGATATTTTTAGAATATTGAGTGGAAAATGCAAAAGTTCCCTCGTGTTTAATTTCCTTAACGTGTAAGAGAAGCTTAGCTACTTTTTCCATCCAACATAAAGCTACACAGTGAATATAAATCTCCTCTAATCATGACTCACTTGCTGCTTTGAACTGAAACACTGAAAAAGTGATGACAAATTTTGTCCCAGTGTAGATGCATTTCTCCAAGAGCTACCAGATCCTCAACTATGAATGTAAATGTACATGTGAAAAATTGTTGTAGGTTTGCAGCTTTGTTGGTTACATTTTGCAGCAATGGTAAGAATTTGAAAAATGAAATAACGCTTTAAGATAAATGTTAATGTTTTAAATAAATGGTATAACTCAAGTAAAACCACTACAGCGCATGAATAAATGTACTACTGAGATTTAAAAAAAAACAAAGAACTGTGTTTAAAGAATTTCGTTTGGAGTTTTTAATGCCAGAGAGCTTATGTTTGTCTTTTCAGTCAGATAGACAGTTTAAACTTCTTTTTTTCACATGCAGGAAAATCATTACATTATTGTTTTTTAAAGCAGCTGTTTTGCATTTGTCTGACTTACCAGAACAGGAAACAGGCACCGCTAGTACGGAAAGCGCAAACACACCTTTCCCCAGTGTGTCCATGGCTCTCTGTCTGTAAAAACAAGCCTATCTGTGCTTCTATCTTATGACAGCTATGCTTCTGGTTTCCTCACAATAATCTCTGATCACTGTGATCAGAGGAAGTGGCTGAACTGACAACCTACCAATGGACTGAGACTGGGGCTGTCTGCACTTCAAAGCATTTTATAACCTTCAACGCCCACTGTAGGTCTCACTGACGAAGCTGGGCTTTGTTCAAATGTTTTCCTAAAAGCATGATTTTAGCATGAATGATGGGCTTCTATTGTGCCCTTTTAAACCTTTTAAAACAACTTTTTCTTCTTTAACCAGCAGCTCTGCTTTTTGGGTCCGAGGAAGTCTATCTTAGGCAGTAATGAGGAGATACACTGTTATGCTGGATGATTTGGACAAGTGGAAACATGTTAAAAGGAAATTAAAACAAAAAACTCTCAAACTTGTGGCATGGATAGCAGCTAGATTGAGAATGAGTAACTACCAAGAGGCATATGTGGGTTAAGTTTTAGAAGGTAATACATGCAGGCTTTAAGTTATTTAACTTCATGTTCAGAAAAGTGTATGAGTGTTTTATTACACATCATAACACTTTTATCATTTGGTCATCATCCATAAAATTGTTATTTTATTGTTGGGAATATTGTTTGTATCTATGGCAACATTCTCCTCATGTGACATAATTATAGCTAAATTGTATGTAGTTCACACGATTTTAATAAACATTAATCTTGTAATATCGGCTGTATTACAGCTTATCTAAAATATATGAAGTGTTTATGCACTAAGTTTGATGTAATGATCTATTTTGTGGTGTTCTGCTGTAAATATGTAGATTATGAAAATCATGTAGAACAAATCTACGTAATGTAAAGTTGGACAAATATTCTTCTTACGTAACACTGCACGAACCATTCTATACTCAGACTGTGATGTCCCAGATGTGTCTGCTGTTTAACAGGGGATATGTTTAAGTAGCTCAAAGGTCAAAAGACAGGTTGTGAGTGTGTGGGTAAAGGAAAAGGTTTCAGACATGAGCCCTCTGCCTCGCGTCTGTCTCGCGTTGCATTACAACACTGATCTGTGACACTGAAGGAAACTACTGTACTAACATGTAGATAGATGAGGCCAGGTTAAGGCACAAGTACGAGACTTGAGTTTCACATTGGTGTGCAGATTGTGCAGGGATGTCTGACTGAGGTTTTGCCTCGGGAACACTGACACTGAGGGACATAAAGAGGGATTTACATTCAGCACATTTTTCCAGTTCAACTTGATTCTATTTCAGAATTTATGTAGGATTTTTTTTCATAAGACTAATAAAGGGGAAACAACTTCTTTTTTTGGGAAACATGTTTTCTTTATGAATTCAGAACAATTTAGATTTGTTGCGTCATTTCTTTAAAGTTCAAATACTCTGCCTTCCCTTTTTCATTTGTATTTACATTATTTTATTACTCTGTTCATGAAATCCAAACGAGTGTAAAATATATGCTGCTAATACTGCTATTCAGAGTTAAATAGGTTGGTCTTGTAACTGGACGGGTTTTTTATTTAGTAAAGGAATAGTTGCTGTGTTGCAGGGGATGTTTACAGCTTCCTGGAGTCTTGTCATCAAAGTGAGGCTGTTAAGGTTGCCAGGCAACACTGTTACAGCTGGAGTGCTAAACTGTTTTAGAACAAATCACGTCTACATGTGTCTGCACATTATATACATTTTCAAAATAGATAATGATATAGCCTAAAGTGAAGAATCTTAGCTTTTATTTGAAAATATTTGTATCCTTATTGGAGGAAGGGTTTTTGGAATAAAGGCTTTTTAATCTATAGCCATCTCTTGTTTAAGGCCTTAATACAAATGCAGGTGTTAAAAAAATGAAAAATCTGCTTCATGGAAAGGTATATTTCTTTGTTATGGCTTCATTAATTAAGCAGCAGACTTCATTCCAGTGTGGTATTTGAAAGGTAATGCTGTGAGCCTGCAAGACAAGCTGCACTCAAAGGAGCTCTTAATCTGTGACGCAGGGTGAAAAACAAAACAAATCTGTCAAAGGGAGGAGGAACATTGGCCAAATCAAGAAGAATAAAAGAACATACTGGGTCAGCTTGGGAAGATTTAAAAAAGGCCTGGATAGCCATAGAAGAAAGGTGTCTTTGTATGGAGCAGAAAAGCTCCTTCATAACATCCATCCAAAGTGAAGAAGACTCTCCAGGTGGGAGGCCTATACTATACAAGTCTACAATACAGAGAAGCCTTGCAAAAGAACGTGCACAGGGTTCAACACAAAGTTCAAATGAATAATCAGTCTCAGGCATCTAGTCAAACTAGCTCTGGAACAGTGTTCATTGTTCAATGCATTTTTCTTTTAAGTCATTGTGAGCTCATGAAATCAGGGTTCATAACAATGGCTCTAATCCCTCCAAATGCATTCTTTGTGTGCAGAACATTAAATTGAAGCTCAAAGTTTTCCACTTTAATTTTCTCTTGTGGTGCCATATGCAGGGGTGTCTCCAGAATTTTTTCATAGAGGTGGCCATATGGGGACCACTAAAAATATTGGGGTGGCACCCCAACAACAGAATGTCCCGTTTTATTGTGCTGTTATCAAATATAGGTCACTCGAAAATTATGATTAAAAAAAGAGAGAAAGAATTATATGCCCAATTAATGACCTGGGGATTAACTGGGCAAATTTGGGGGGGGGGGCAGTGATCCGCCGGGCCAACCCTAGGTGGCGCCCCTGGTCATGGAGCCAGAATTATGAAAACAGTCATACTCTCTGTCTCCACCTCAAACTGCAGATGGTCACTGACTCTACAGAGGCAAGTTATTTCCTCTTGTTTCAAGTCTTTGTGCTGAGATGTGACTTCCTTTCAGTTCACAGCCTGAATACGCAGACATGAAAAAAACATCCTTTTATCTCATTCCTGGAAAACCGACACATTTCTTACACTGATACATGATTGTTTTAACACAGTCCTTCACAACAGCACTTTTTAGACACACACAACTCTGTGTATCCCCTCCTGCTGTAACAACGCTGTATGAAAAGCGGGTGCAAAAACTGTTGCACAACTACATTCATATGTGAAGTATGATTCCAAAAGTGTACCTGAATGCTGCACTATTTGAATATACACACATATCTACAGTCCACCCCTTCTGGTTGGTCCAGTTTAAAATAAATACCTTTCAGTGGTGAGGGCTACGAAAAAGGGAGACGCATGCTTGTGTGTGTTTCCTTACAGCAGGGGTTGGCAACCTTTCTGATGATGTGTGCCATCTAAAATTTCCTCAGAAGTCAGTGTGCCATATGATTACATTAGCAATAAATTTAATAACGCTCTATATTAACAGTTACACACTATATAGAACCACTTTATAGAATTATATTTGTTTGCAGATGTTGGCTGCTATCAGCAAATATTTATCAGCTATTTTGAAACAAAAAAAAGACACTTTTTATCCATAACAAGAACTCCATAACAGCAAATGAACTGTACAACAGAAAATGCAAATGCTATTCATGGTCTCCTCACAACAATGATAAGAAAATGTTCTGCAATGTTCTGAAGACAGTTAAACTTGTCAGGTAGTGATGTCCAACAGGTGAAAATGCAAGCTCCATGAACACGCACAGCTGTGGATTCCAGCTGCGTTCGTAGTTCTGCAAACTTTGACCCCCACAGATTCAAGCTTTCCAGTTCAATCAGCTGCATTTCGATGTCGCATTAACTGGCATCAACTCAGCCAGTTAATGCGAGACAAATCCAGCTGCTCATTTAAGCTTTCTGGTTTGAAAAGAAAACATTGGTCCATATGACAAGGCTCAATGGCCCGAGAATAGGGATTGGGCTCAAGCGCAGAACCAAAACCGGAAGCTGAACGACTTTTAACAGAGTTTTATTTTACAGGAGTCTTGAACAGAGAGGACTGAACAAAAGCTAAATGTAACAGTGAGCAATGACAAGGCTTTGTGAGAAGGGCCTGAGCACAAGCTGAATCTGGTCACAGGAATAGCAGGGGCAGGAACAGGGCAGTTAAAGCTATGCGAACAGGAACACTGAAATAAAAGAGATAATAATCAGAGTTGTCCGTGGAGTAGTGAAGGCATCCAAGATTTCAAAGTTGAGAGGTCTTACATGGTTGCAGGTGGAGATTAGCTGGAGGAGGTGAACTGGATCGGGTGAGTACAGAGTGCGATGTGGGTGCCCAGGGAGGCAGGCAGGTATGGATGGTGGTGGCCAATTACAAGTTGAATCTGGTAGTTGGTGTTGTTAGCTGAGATACCGTCATTAAGAAGCGGCACAACTAATGTGTCTATGCAAGCTCATTTACGATGTGCACCGCTGGCCCGGCCATTTATTTTTTAATGCACCTTCTCAGATTTATTTCACTGCGTGTCGTGCACAGGGCTGAACTGGGACAAAAAATCGGCCCGGGCATTTTGACTAGAGACCGGCCCACCAGGTATTAAAGCCATAAAGCCTTTGAATGAAAACAAACGCTGTTGTGACAGTCTTGTTGGTATATGTATGATTTCTATACATTTTACCTCAGATAAAAACTTTGGTTGTAAGATTCAGATAATTATTTAATAAAAGCCAGACATTTTAAATGAGAATAAGAAAGTATTTCTTTGTGCCCCTCTTTCCCTGTTAATGCTCTACCTGGCCCCCTGGCAAAACATTACTAGACCCGCCCCTGCACAGTTACCAGCTGTCAGCTACATAAAAAAGGATCCTGGTGTTATTTGTCTCTCAGAAACAGTTCATAACTTCCCTTCAACTCATTCATGTCACCTAAAAGGTAAACCTGTTTCTCCATCACCTGTTTAGCTCTGATGATTCAGTAAGGACATCTCCTGGTTTCATCTTCATGTTTCCCTCTCACCAGGATATCCAAACCGACATCATGACCAGCAGCTTTTATGGCTGTGGCTCCAACAAACATCAGCTGATATTAGAAATTAATATCAAATAAATTCTAACAACAGCTGATCAAGCTTAAACGTGCTGCTGTTGTTTAGCGCGACATCTGGTGGTTTCCTCTTTCTGGCGCCAAGTGGTTGATAAACAAACAAGAGAGAAAAGCCGATCAGCTGATCATTGATCAGTT